CCCTTCCCTTCCCTTCCCTTCCCTTCCCTTCCCTTCCCTTCCCTTCCTTTTCCCAGTCTTTAAGCTTTTTATATGTCCAGGGTTGGGTGACTGTCATCGAGTAGAAGGCTTACCAGTGCTATCACGTACTTTTTTTTCCCTTTCCCCTCTTTTTTTCCCTTACCTCAAGTGGAATATGTTGTCTTCCCATTTCTTTCATGTATATAGGGTGAACTTCTGTTCGGCTCCTTTCTCAGCTGCTGTGAGCTCCTGAGAACTTCCTAAGGCCAAAGGGAGATCCCAGGTCCCTAAGGACCTTTGTAACCACAGCTCAGTCATGTGTAAAGTGGGCATAATCCCTGAACTATCAAAGAAAGGCTGTGTTTTGCAGGTAGTTCAAACCCCTTATGAAGAGCTGTGGAATCATAAATTATTTATCTTACTGGAGAATATTTCTAGAGGTCACCAGTTTCTGATAGTTTCCTTCAAACCAGAAGTAGGTTCACTTAGAACAGTTTGCCCCCCATAAAATCTCTGACCTTGCCTATTCAAACTTCTTTGCGAATGCATCATTTAATGCAGGAAGCTCCTTGGGGAGGGTTCTTCACATCTGCTGTCATAATTTCTTATTTCCTAAATGCAGCAATTTGTACTTGAGTATTCTTACCAGGATTGTGCCTCCCTTCCCTCCCCCTGCTCTGGCACATTCCTTTGTGGTGCTTCTTGTGTTTGAAATCCCAAATCTTCCCCGTTGTTGTTATTCCAGGGTTTCCTTACCCCTCAATTCTAGGGAAGGGCATGAAGGAATCTGCTCCTTTATTCTCAGGCTGTTTTCCTGCGGCTTGTTAGTGACAGCAAGTTGTCATCATTTTACAGCCATTCAGCCAGTAACAAAACCAAGCGGAATCTCTCATTTCAGCTCCCCGGGAACAAGATTTCCCCAAACAAAAACACGCCACCACTTCTTGGAGCACTCAACCTCTGTAGTAGCTAAGCAGAGGACCGAAGCCCAGATTTATAAAGATGTTTAGGTGCTTGACTGCCACTAAAACCGAATTGGACCTAAGTACCTGTAAATAGCTTTAAAACTTGGAGTGACTATGAAGGCCTCCCTCATCCATCACTCTTGGCAGTGGTCCCCTCAGAATGGAAGTGAGGCACATCAGCAAGGTCACAGAAAATACTTCCAGTCCTGCTTTGCAGAAACTGCACAGATTAAGTGAATTGCTGCATTCTTGCGTGGCTTTTGATGAAATACATCTTCTGAAGCAGATTGCTTGTATTCCCTAGAAGAAAAGAGCCCTTGCTTGCATGAAAGCAAATATTTAAGTCAGACAACTTTTAAAAAGGATGTAAAATTATACTATAAAAATACCCACCTTTATAGCTTATAATCCATTTTTTATTAAAGCTGGGAAATAAAAGTAAAATTCACATTCAAATTACTTTCTGCTGTTTCTAGGGGATACTCTTTGCATTCCAGTTGGTTTCACTTGGCTCTTTCTCTACCCATTTTCAATGCTGCTGTTCTAGACTTGCATAACCTTCAGGGAAAAATTTATTCCCAAACATAAAACCTGTATGGATTTTACATTTTTAATATTTAGTAACATTTAACTGTGTGTTAGCCTTGGAATCACTTTGTTTTCCAGTGCATCCAGAACGCTGGGCTAGTGCTGACTGAAAAGTGTTTGAAGGGGGGAGGCTTTCATATTTATGCCAGGAGTTCCCTCAGTGACACTATAAAACCAGGAGCAAGTGCAGAGAAGGCTGTTTGCTCTGGTTTTTTGGTGTAAAGAACAACCACTTGCAACGATTCCCTGCAATAAACGTCGCCGACTTTGGGGAGATTTGGTTCACAGAATCACAAAATCACAGAATATTCTGAGTTGTAAGGGATTCAAAGTCCAGCTCTTCAGTGAATGCCCCCCCCAGGGATTGAACCCACACCTTGGCAACATCAGCACTGAGCTAATCTCGGGGTTAAACTGGTTCTTGTTTAATTAACTTGCACTTTTGTTGTGCACAGTCACTTTCAGGTTCTGTGGGGGTTTTTTTTGAGGGAGGATGGGGAACAAACATTCAGCAGTGCAGTAAATAAGGAAGTCAATGGTCGTGTTGGAGAAACACTTGATGCGCCTTTCTGAATGACTGTCTCGTCTTTTAGGTTTGTATTAAATGTCTGAAGTATTTGAGCAAGTTCTTTAGCAAGTTTACTTTCAGTGCATGCTCCCCAACTAAAGCATGTTCCTCCAGTTGATGGGTTGGAAAGGTCTGTGATGAGTCCTTGGAGAAGTCTTTGTCCTTCCGTGTCTCCCCTTCACCTTCGTCATGTTAAACAAAGTGAATTCCAGGCAGCCCAACAGTTACGCTCCATCTCTCCCATCTGCTTTCAGGTGTCTCCGAGGGGGTGTGCTGTTGAGGTGAGATGTCCTGGTGCTCTCCCATGGATGTAGGGAGATAGCAGCCATGATCCCCTGAGGAGGCCGAGCCCCGCGCCGCAAGCATGGCCTTCGCCCAGTCGCATATCATGGCAGCCCGGAGGCACCAGCACAGCAGGCTCATCATCGAGGTGGACGAGTACAGCTCCAACCCCACGCAGGCTTTCACCTTCTACAACATCAACCAGGGGCGTTTCCAGCCCCCACATGTGCAGATGTGAGTATTACAGTTCTGTCACTGCTCCAGCCCAGCCTCCCGGGGCGTTATTGCCGTGGTTGATGGACCAGTCGGGAGGAATTGGAGGAACTGCTGCCTTTCTAATAATAATTACTGTAACGATACAAAACCAGCCCATTTGAGAGGTACTTTGTTAAAGGAGGGGAGAAAGATTGCTCCACTGGTGTAATACATAATGCTTGGGTATTAAAAAGAGAAATGAACGGCAAGCAGTGGCAATAAAACACGAGATGCTACAAGGGTGATACTTTCTGCAATCTTAATAATGTTTGTTTGCTTTGTGCAGTTGGATGTTGATGCACAGAGCTGTTGGAAATACCCCAGCCCCTGTCTGTCCAACATACACTGTTTGGTTAGTTATATTACAGCTACATACAAGGGAAAAATCATCTCAATAAATAAAATAGTGTGGGCACCCATCCGACAACTTACTCTCGTTCCGATGTGCCGAAAATGCCAAGTGCTTAAAGAGTGATTAAAATACTGTGTTTGTTTCTGACTTCTTATATAATGAGAACATCAGTAAAATTAACTGCTCTAGATGATTTACTTGTAACGTAAAGTGGAGAATTATAATTACAAAATGAAACCTGCCATAAAGTTTAGAGCCAGAAGGAAGAACAAAACAGTAAAAACTATTACAAATAAATTAAGTATAAAATTCTACTGTAAAATATTTTTATAGGGAATAAAAATGTCTGCACCATTTTATTGTGTTTATTAAAGAGAGAAGCAGCCCTATCTTTAGATCAGAAGGCTGTTTTTTCATTTTTTAAAGGGAACTCCTTTCCTTTAGGAAGACTGAACAAATAATCCTCTTGTTCACATTTTTGGTGTTTAATATGATTTAATAATTTACAAAATAGGTTATGATTTCTGCAGCTAAAAAACTAAGCACTGAATGCTATGTGTCACTTTAGTGAATGTTTATGAACATTATTTGGCATAAATTAGGTTATATAAAAAGAATCTGAAGACTAAGGTATGTATCAGGATGGTGAGCAAACACTCAGTTTTTGGGGGCAGTGTATTATGGTCTGTGATGGGGTTTTTTAGATCCCATTGAAATGCAAACAGTAAAGTGAGTTGAATGTAAGCACTGGTTAGTTATATTACAGCTACATACAAACATCTTTAGTTTATAGAGCTGGCAAATGGTAGCAAAAGTACAAACAAACAAATGGGGGTCCAGAAATACTTTTACAAATGAAAATGCCAGATGCAGGTTGATTTGATGAGGTTTAGCTGTTTTCTGTGAATAGTCAGACAGCTCCTGGGCACTCAGAAATTTGTTTCCTGGTCTTAAAAGCTGCATGTTTTTTACTGGGCTGAAAGCAAGTTATTTATTTGTATCTGCTTTGTACTCAACAAATGCTGTTTAAACTTCTAACCACTAAGAAATTATGGTACTGGAGGGCTTGGACAATCAACTACATGATAGAAATTCAGCACCTGAGCAAGTAGTTGAAAATAATCTGTCCTTAGAAAATGGTTCCTCAGAAGAGTTTAGCAATCTCTCATGAATGATTAATACTATTGGAGAAGCTTGTGCAAATAGGAAAACAGACCAAGTCAATTGGAACATGTACCACAATCTGACCTACTCTTCCTCCTCATACAGAAATTGTAAATAATGTTTCTCGAATACCAGCAGGATTGCTTTTGCCTCCTACCAATGAATAGAATAGTAACAAAGAAGGGAGAAGGAGACATAAAAAGGGTAACAAAAGCACCTTTTATTCGCCTGATTGTCGTGAGTGAGAGCCCTGTTTCCGTGCACTCAGGTTTTGTCCTTAACTTCAGGGAGGTGAAGGCTTTGTGCATAGTTCAAAACACCTACACTGGTGATGTTGTAGGCAACCATAAAGAGATTTCACACAGATCTGTTAACACCTGAGCCCACAGTAAACTGTTTTAACCACGGGGGTGCTCCTTTCCTTCTGAATTCAGTCTTGCAGATCTTCCTTGGTCCTCTGTGATGTTTGACATTTCTCCTTTCACATTTTAGCTCCTTCAGGACTTTTCTAGACCTGTCACAGTCTGGCATCCTTGTGCTTGTGAGATGGCTGGGTTGCCACTGACGAGAAGGGTGGAAAATTCTGCCAGTGTTTTCAAGCCCATCAGCCATTTCTGGAAAGTCCTTGTCTTGCCCCTTTTTGAAACCACTGAAATCCAGTGTACAAACCAACCTCTGGTTTTTTTTTTTTCTCTGAGGTTTTTCAGCTCAGCTTTTCAATTTCTCTCACAAGTTTTTGTGGTGATTTAAAGAAAAACAAAAGCATTTGCACAAAAAATAATCAGCAGATCTGTATTCCTCTGCTCACGCTGCAAGCTGTGCATTGGGTGTTGGTGTGACAGCTGCTGTGGGAACATGTTACACGAGAATATGGGGATTGAGCCTTCAGAAATTATTTCCAGTAATACAACTTAGATGTGTTTGTGAAACTTGACATATGTTTTTACCTATATACGGTCTCAGTGTGTGCATATCACTTCAAGATGAAAAACCTGCATCTCATTTATTTGCCTTTTTTTTTTTCTTTTTTGCATTGATGTCATTTTCCCATGAAAATTCTCTGGCCTATTGCACAGAATTTAAAAGTTGCACATAACCTCTGCAACTGGGAAAATGCTGTCTACATCTTCCCCTTGCCCATCCAAACTATAGGAAAAAAAGCACGTGCTTTATGTGCTGCATGGGGTTTCCATGGGATGTCTGTTGTTTTTAACATTCAGCTTCATATGTGAAGTGCCTGATACTCCCTAACAACCAACTTACTGCTGTGCTGAGCTCTGAAAGGATTCTGAAGGAGAAGCAGTACCTGCTTTAAAGGCTACTCTGCCATGAAAGGTCAAAAAGTAATATTTTAGACCAGTCCACGTGTTAGACCGGACCAACCCTTATATTGTGCCAGGGTAATATGCATGATTTAGAGCTGGCTTACTAATACAACCTGTGACTCACTTTGGGAGGTGTTGGGCAGGGAGAACAATAATTTGTGTTTGCTGAGATGGTGTTTAATCCTTTCAGCTTGAACAGCTGCAAAGATAGGCAGGGTCAGCTCCTCATCCTTTGACTCTTGGGGATGGTCCTGTGCAGGGGGACTTGATGATCCTTGTGGGTCCTTGCCAGCTCAGCATATTCTGTGATTCTGTGGGTTTTACCCAGTTCATTTGGTGGCAGAATTGTGTGAAGTGACTGTATTACCCTTCACACAGCTCACACCTTATGGCAAAGCCTCCCCAGTCTAAACCCCACCATTCACCACCCATATTCCTTTGCACCCCTGTTACCTCCCCCCCTCCACCCACTGTGGCAGCTCTGTTCTTCTGTTCTTCTCCAAAACAGAGGCATTTTTAACATCAGACTCTTTTTCTTCACCTGCCCTTTGTGGTCTTCTTGCAGCACACACACTCCCCCAACCCTACAAGAAGTGTTTTCAGGGTCCAAACATTCCAAACACTCTTTGTCAGCCAACTTTTGCAGTTCCCAGTAGGTCCTTGCTTACATATCTGGGTATTCATTAGGTAGGATTTGGTCCCAGCTGGTTTTGCTCCTCACCTCACGTTTCATTACTTTTCTGCTCAAAATCTGGAACTTCAGAAAGACAACTACAAGGTGCTCGCACTAAAAGGCTGTTTCTCCAGGATTGCTGTAAAAAAACCACAGCATTCCTTCTTCCTGTAAAGGTAGGGGTGCAAAATAGTTTGTTCATGCTCTAGTTTTGTAACTACAGTGTAGAAAATGCTAAGAGCTTTTTTTTTTTGTATTTAACAAGATTTGAATGTTTTAGATTTATTCCTCACTCTCTCACCAATGCCGTGTGGTTGTCAAAAACGCCTCTAAATTTCACAGAATTCTTTGACATAGGGAAAAGATGGAGTGATTAAAGATTATTATCTTATGACTTTTAAGAAATAAAATACTTTTAAAAAATTTACTGAGGAACAGATGTAGTACTATTAATAGCAAAAATATCTTAATTTTTTTTTCCTGAGTTTGTTTATGTAAAAGTAAGCTCCTGAATTGAAGCACAACCAGAAGGGGATAGAAATGTGTGTTATATACTGCAACAGTGAACGAAACTAACTTTATTTGTCCTTTCCAAATAAATGTTGCAAAAGTAAAATAGTTCACAACAACTCTGTATATCTCTCTGGTTTCTAGTGGCACAAATATAACTCTTGCACCTCTGGCTTTTGGATTTTTTTCCACCAGAGTTCCCTAACTGAGATAGCAGATACAGTATAGCTGTATATGGATACATTTGCTGCTATGTATTCCAACAAAATATGGATTGAGGTTAAAAAGATTGATTTGAAAGTAAGGTGTTCTCTGCTTTCCTCTCCTAAATCATGAGTAAGTCTCATCAAACTGGGTCAGATCTTTTCACTCCCTCAGTTTTGAATCTTGATTTTGGGCTCTGAACAGTGCAGCCTCACCCCTCACAGCATTTGATTTCATTTAATATAATTAAGCCCAGAAAGTCACCACATTTGTCCTGACAATAGTGAGGCTTTAATGTACATTTACAGCTGTTGGGAGAGTTCTTATGTTCTTTTGCATTAACACACTCAAACATATCTCCAAAATGTGTAAATTAAATTTGCTGGAACTATGTAACTTGCAGGGGAAAAAAAAAAGTTCTAATTAGAAAAAACACATTTAAATGTATTTATGTATCTAAAATAAATCTCTTCCCTGTGTACCGTGTAATCATATTTAAACAATGAAATGGGATAGTGCTATTCCTTTGAAACTGGCAATGCCTTTGATTTATTTGTAAGTATTTGTGTCAGAGTTACTGCCATAGTCCGATCTCTTCTCCTTAATCTCTTGAAGTTAACGTATCTACCAAAAAACACCGAAAATGCTGTGCTGTGAACATCAAGAATTTTTACTCCTCCCGTTAGTGTTAGGTTTAATAAATCCTTCCATCAGGCAGATTCAGAGGTCTGTGTAATCTTTTGTAAAGGTATAAAAAATAGTGTTGGAATTGCGAAGCAGACACTACAAAGTACGTAAATACTTTCTAACCTTGTTATGATGCATTTCCTGCAGGGTTGATCCGGTGCCCCACGACGCTCCCAAACCTCCAGGATATACACGATTTGTCTGTATTTCTGATACTCACTCAAGAACTGATCCCATCCAAATGCCATATGGAGATGTGTTAATACATGCTGGTGATTTTACTGAGCTGGGACTTCCTAGTGAAGTAAAAAAATTCAACGAGTGGCTAGGTAGGTACTGCATTCTGTGTGCATTTGAAAGCACATTTGTTTACTGATTGTATCTGCCCCTTCTGCCTCCCAGTAAAAACCACCGTGCACTCAGAAATCATGAATATTGATTTGACTTTTAAATTGGAATGGCAACGAGCAGGAATCGTTGTTTTTCACAAATATTTTTGCATTTTTCCAACGGAGCAAATAGGATTTGTGAGACTATTCATCTGTTCTGCCTTCACACTCCCAAGTGTACATTAAGCAACTTCTGGGTGTTAGCAACAATTTAAGTCAGTAGGCCTTTAATGATTTACATAAAACCTCTTCCATACATTGTTATGGCTTTCCTTCTCCCCTCCCACCAAAAAAAAAAAAAGTTGTTGTGACTGAAAACATTTGTCTGTTTAACCCTGGAGGCTCATAGTTGTGCTGTTTTTTTTTTAATCTGAGGCTCAGCTGCACCACAGTGATGAATTCCAAACAAAGCAAACCGTGTGCCCGTGGTTGCTGCCTTGGATGTAGCAGACCAGATGTAGATGCCTTCTGTAGGCAAGCCTTGGCATTGGGAGCTGAAATTCTGTTCCATCGGGCAAGAGAGTGGTGATTTACATGTGCTTCTACAATGTTTTGTATATGCTTTAAAAAAAAAAAGACACTGAAAATTGGAAAGCGGGCACTGTATCCAGATAAAAACCCTGCTCAGTGCTGTTCCTGCAGCACTGCGGGTACCTTAATTTAGAATAAAAGTGGCTTCTGATACTTCATTAACAAAAAAAAAAAGGGTGAGAGGGAATGAAGGAGTTGGAGAGAGAAAGGACACAGTTTAAGGGGAACAGATTTCAAGTTTTCTGTTGATGTATTTGCATTTTTTCCCTGTCTCTTTCTTTTTTTTTTTTTTTTTTTTGGTACATATTACAGCATTACGCCCTGGGAAAGCACAAAGCAGACAGATGCATGTAGGCTGAAATGGAATATATAAAAAAAAAAAAAGTCAGGACTTCACAATTTAAACAAATATTTACTAGCAAATAATTATCAGCAAGGCTGATAAATATTTATTTGAGCTCAACAACCCAATAATATGTCCCACATGGAATAATTGCATTATTCTGAGAATATTAAGGTAGGAATAGTGTGTGGAAGTAATATATTGATATAGTGCCATCACCTCTTGTCTCTGCACCCAAAAGGAGGAGGGTGGTTATAAAACAGAAAGCAAGTTTTGACCCTGTTGTGTAGGTCTCTACCATATCTTATAATAATGTCCTGAAAATAGCATGTACAAGTTATACAAACCATATGGTTATCCTTCTAAATAATACCCATTTTATTTATCTGCTGGTGTGGGAAGAGAAGTGCTTGGGGATATTGCTGACAAGGATGGGGGCTACACAGAGTTTCTGTGCATGGTCTCTTCATCATTTTCATTCCCAAAAAAAGGGCTTAATTTTCCGACTTCTCAGGCATGTTTCCAATTTCCTGGTAGTGTGCAGATTGGGAAGAGGTGATCTTGGTGGTTTGAGTTAAATTTTTGCAAGAGCATCTTTGAGATATAGAAATGTAGCAAGTTAAAGATTTTTTTACCTTCTTGGCAATTAAAAAAAAAAAAAAAGAAAAAAGGGAAGATCTAATTTAATTTTTAATAAATTTTTGTTCATTTTAAATGAACAATTTATCAACTCTTGAATATCTTGAGTGTTTACAAAATGTATAGTAAACAGCAAAATGGTTAAAAGTGTTCCTTTTAAAAAGGAATTTTAGAAGTTTTTACTGGTTGTCCATTTTGTTGTGAAAGGGACTGGTCCCTAACAGTTTAGGTTTTTCTAGACGGCTACTTCCAATACCTTCCACTATTTTGCAACTCCCTCAGCCTATCCAGCCTTCTCCTTCCTCCTTGTCTTAATATTTTACTAGTTTCTAGAGAAAATAAGAGACAGATCTGGCATTGACTTTGACCTCCGCTGTTGTTCTTGCTGCTGCTGCTGCCAAATTTCCCTGCCCATTCTTTCATGTCCATGGCACAGCACTCCCTTTCCACTTATTTTGTTCTCTGTGTTCTGCTGTCATTAGATTACAACTTGGGATAAACACCAAGATATTTGTATGGTCCAGCTTCCCTTCACCTCATCTTCCTCTCGAGCACGAGATACATTCCCCGCTCCTACTTTTGCTCCATGTTTTTATGTGTAGCATTGATTCTTACCTCTTAATTTTCTCTTTTGTCATGCCCTATTAGGTCTGTGCCACTCTATCTCTGTTTCATCTTTTCAGATCAACTTGCCCTTCAGCAAGTTCAGATTTTATCTTTCTGCTTTACATAAAGTTTCCTGTGACTGTCTGATGGAAAAATTATCTTACATTAACATCATTAACTTCCATGGACCTTATGGTTACACCAAGCACATGCTCAAGTGTTGTGCTAATAGAGGCACGTTGGCTTGCTGAGTCATCCCCTGAAATATGTTCTCTCTTTTTTTCTGGCTGTATGTGGGCACACAGGAAGGCCTGGACTATCTCAGATGACACAGCTCATGGTCCTGGTATTGTCTTTGCCTGGTGCTTTGTCTGCCCTTCACTCACCCAGTTTCATATTTTTTTCTCTTCTGACCCGTAAATCCCTCTGCTTGATTTCGTTTCCATTCGTTCTTTTTGGTAATTAGTTGTTTCCTCTCATGTTTTCTTTCTGCTAAACCTCCTCTCCCCTTCTCAGGGAGGGACTTGGGGTTTTACCAGGGCCAGGTTTAACTGTGTGGAAGAGATGAAATGCTGGTGATAACTGGATATGCTTATTTTCTCAGCTTTCTCTGGTAGGCATTCCAAGGGCTCCTGCAGCCACAGCCTTACGTTGTATTAAATACATAGATTTTTTTTCTCTTAGTTCTTAAATTGCCTTTTGGATCTGTGCAGATTTTGAGTGCAGACACAGAGTTCCACAATGTGACAGGGATGGTGTGGTGGACTGTGCTTATTTTGAACCTGTAACCTGCTCATTTCATTTGGTATTTCCTAATACTGGAAGAGGGAAGTGATTTTCATCTTCATTCTGCTTAAGAATTTATAGTCTCATATCTGCCCTTAAGATATTTTTAAGGCCGAAGACTGTTCAGAAGTCCTTAAATGCCTTTGATCACCTGTGTCACTCTTTGTACCTCTTTGTATCCTTTTAAAAATGATGAGACCAGACCTGCACACAATCTGAGAACACCACAGATTTATTACCTGGCAAATGAGATTTCCTAGTTCTTTTTTCCTTTCTGGTGTTGTGGATTATTCTGTTTTCATTTCTAACTGTGACTGAATAATGAGAGGGCATTGTCATAAAATTTCCTAATATAATTCTATCAACTCTTTCCTGTATGGTAATACCTTGCTCAGAGCCGATCACTGTATCTACAGTTGGTCTGTTTTTTCCAGCACTTGAATTACTCTGCATAAATTTATGTTCAGTCTCATCTGTCCTCTTATTGCCCAGTCATGCAATATCATGAAGTGAGATTTCTATTTTGCTAAACTTTTTCAGGGTAACTTAGGAAATTAAGGGAAGAGGGGCCAAATAGTCAGTTTACAAAGCCTATGAATGTTGTCAACCTGGTCATTTCCCTCTCTCCTTTTTTTCTTAATCGACCTTTCTCCTCTTTTCATATTTCATATTTTCCTTTTTTTTCTTTTTTTTTTTTTTTTTAATCTAGTTTGTTCTCTTACTGTATTTTTGAATTTGAAAATCCAGTTTTGGAGAATCAGGAAAAAATGAAGTACAAAATCTTTATTATGGTAGGACTGAACAGAAGGCCACGAAGCCAGGGAGACTTTCTAATGACATTATAAGGATGACTTTGAACATATGCTGATTTTCCAGGATGTCCAGGAGATTTTAACAGATAAGACTTGAAACAGCCAAAGAAGATTTGGGGGAATTGTTTCTAAATGCATTGACCTGTTAAAACTGGTCCAGAGGAGGGTCAAGAAAATGATCAGAGGGCTGGAGCATCTCTCCTAGATGACATCATAAGATATATCAGGCTCACTATGCACAGCAGCTTCTCCTTCTCCTCAGCTTTTTCATGATTTCAGTTTTTGTTATTTATTCCCTACCTGCATATAAATCAAATGTGTTGTAGGACAAACACAAAAACACGTGTCCTGCCTTAGTGCACTCATCAAATAACAACTCCAAAACTATCTCTGCTTTTTAATCTCCAGTGTTGTTGGCACTGGAAATTGCCTGCTTGGCTGAGTTGCTTGTGTAATTCCCTTTGCTCCAGCCTGGAATATCATTTCCAAATTGTGCATGCTGCAGGACCCACTTTCACTTGGAGCATGTGGGTTACTTTCCTGAAAATTTAACTAAATAGCTAATCTGTGGTATAAGTTGCAACACATAATTCCATACTTTCTCTGAGAAGTCTTTTCTGTGCATGGATTGGAAAGATTACTTAAACTAACACATTTTATAATATGTATTGTTTCAGTGTGTTTGCTTGAGATTTTCCAGTGTCAAAGACAGACTTCCTGTTTGAAATTCAAGTTCAAGCTAAATTGGAATTAAAAAAAAAAAAACAAAACAGAAGGTGGCTTTGAGTTATGCTGGAAAACAATAATTAGCTCTTCAGAGTATTTTCCTGAGAATGTTGTTCTTATGTGCTTATTGTACACACACACACAGACACAAAAAAAAAAGGATTACGTTATTTGACATGCCCTTTAGGAACTGACCTGGGCAGATTCAGCTCAAAGGATAATATTTTTATTTCAGACTAAAAAATATTTTAGAGTGAAGAGAGGAACTAGCACTACTAAAATTACCTGTTTCTAGTATTAGATTGTATTAGATCTAATCCTCTAGCATTAAATTCTGAGGACAAAATCAGCTAATTTTGGTCAATAAACATCATCCCTACTTTTAAGTTCTTGATAAAAGATCTTCAGAAAAGCCTGTGGTCAGTTGGCTTAGCTTTACTTCTGCTTTATTGCTCAGCTTTGCAAAATGATGGTAGTTATTTTTCTTCCTATCTTAA